GGCGATGTCATAAAATTCACTCTAAGGGTTTGTATTACACCTCAGTTAGGGGAGCAAAATGAAATGAATTTAGTATTTATTTGCATATGATTGCTTTAGCACAGCTTTCACGCAATCAAAAAACAATTCTTTTGTGAGGAGGGTCTGAAAATGGAACCACTGAGGCCGAATCCTAAATTGAAAACTAAATCGAAAAGCCTGTTTGGTCTGTTGAAGGTTTTTTCTCTTAGAAGTGACAAATTCTTTGTAGATCATTTCCTTGCATTTCAATTGAATTCAGAATATAAGAGTCATGTTATTATATAAAGTGGAGACCAGGCCAAGTTGTCACACTTTTTACTCCAGTTAATATTTCTCAAGGTTATTTTATATATATATATATATATATACATATGTATAAAGAAAAAAGAAAAAAAAATGCTGTCATATTGGACCACAATTCAACCTTTCAGTTAAAATGTAGCCTATCTTAATTATTCTACGTATCATTAATGTTGAGACTTTTCTCAATGTTTGTCAGTTTGGTTTTATTTTTGTTAGCAAGAGCTATTAACAAAATAAGAGGATATTGGAGTTTTGATTTGAAGAATAAAATTCTCTAAAATATTATAAAATGTCCCACGTGACAACTAGCCCCAGCCTCTCCTCTATCAGAGACTGACACACCATCCCCATGATCTGAAGGTGAATTATCACCGAAGAAGAGTTTATAATTCTTCATCATATCCTGATGACGATCGTGTTGAGGTGTCATGCGGCTCTTTTGCTTGGCTCGGCTTTTATGCGCATATAGCTCAGCAAGAGCCGTCAGAATTGGTAACCAGGCCCCTGTGCTGAGGTTGAAGATTGTATATCCTCAGTGTACTCATCATCATGTCACAGGAGTGGCCTGGGCTGGACTTTGGTTATGTAACACGGCTGCACATTTATTTATTGGTTTGCATGGCATGCGTGACATAAGCTGGTTTAAGGGCTCTGAGCTGTGTCAGTCTCAGTGCGGGGTACATTATTCAGCTGTGATCAGCATTTGAGTTTACAGGCACGTGTCTGCAGTGTGGCAGTCCAGACTGGCAGAGAGAGAGAGAGAGAGAGAGAGAGAGAGAGAGAGAGAGAGAGAGAGAGAGAGAGAGAGAGAGAGAGAGAGAGAGAGAGAGAGAGAGAGAGAGAGAGAGAGAGAGAGAGAGAGAGAGAGAGAGAGAGAGAGAGAGAGAGAGAGAGAGAGAAGGCTATACTGCAAGATGATTGCATTTGGGACACAATTGACCCTTCACAACTTTACTGTAAAAAAACTATAGTAGCAACATTTTGTTTTACCTAAATTTACAGTAAAAAAAGACATAATTCATTAACTGAAATACTGTTAATATAACAACATACTTTGACAACCATCACACACCACAGGTGGTAATGAGAAAGCCACATGAATCAAAAGTTCATCACAAGTAGAGATTTTCCACAAGCTTGTTGTGTCAAACTTCAGATTGCTCCATGTAAACTATCACTAATTGTATTGTAAATCACTCACAGCCTGCTATTTACTTAATTTGAATATCTTTATTGATATTTAACACTGCTGTACACTGTAAAAAAATAGGTACCTGCATTTGTTATTTTAAAATAGGGAAGGCAATTTGTTTTATAAGCACTTTTTGTTATCCTTGTTAAAACTCTCTTCACATCCTGATAGCAATCAATAATAGAAGTGGTCTAAATATTAAAGGCACACTATGCAAGATTTGTACATTAATATAACAGCTTCGGAGTCATTTCGATGGTAAACAAACCAAAGCGGGGGGGTGTGGGGGATGCCAAATCTCGCCAAATCTCGCAAGAATCATGACTTGCTTTACGGCAGAGGCCTGCATTTCAGCCCGAGCCCGACGGGCCCCGACTTATTTATGCTCCTAGGGCCGGGCTTCGGGCCAATTTTCACGTCATAGTTCACACGCGGGCCCGGGCCTCGGGCCTGTTTTAGGCTTATCTTTTTTATAGCCTATTTTAGACATTAATTAAAATAAAACATGAGAAGATGACGATTGAAAAGCAAACATAGAAAGACGTTTTATAACCTATCACACTGACATATGACTGACACATGACAGTCTGCTCATGCTCACGCTCACGCACACACACACACACACACAGGTTTCCCGGCAGCGCGATCTGAGATTCGCGCGACCGGCTCGTTCTAGTGTCCCGCTATGGTAGCGAGCGTGACTTCAGCGCAGCTGGAAAAAGTACGACTGGATTAAAACCTTCCACTGTGGATGCTGTGCTTTTTCTTCACGATGATCTGAGACTGTTCTTAGCCATGTTAGGAGGAGGTTGTTTTTTGTTTGATTGGACTTTATTTTCATGAGTCTGTTGGAAACTATTGGAAATGGCCATGTTCTGTAGTGAAGACTTGATTTTTGAGGTAAGATAACCTGCATGTTTGTTTTAATGTAATTTATTTGATTTGTTTAGATTGCATTCTCTGTATTGTAGCCTATATTATAAATTCATTTAGTTTGCGAGCGCTGTTGCGACTGAGCAGCAGAGCAGTTTGCCTCAGCTTTTCAAAAATGACAATAAACGTTTAAACTAACGTTAACTGTCTGTGTGATATGCTTAAGTTGTTTTATATCTATGGATTTTATTGTAGCCAAGTAAAGTGTTGATTTGAGAGGCTATAAATCAATCAATGGATCAAACATGTTTAACTCGCTGTCGGCTGCTTGGTCGTCATAATTTTTTTTGTTGTTTTTTCTTAATTAACTTTATAAAGAAATGAAAATAAACTTACCGGTAAATACTTTGCCATTGAAAACAAAATATATCTGGTTTACTGACTGCAACATAGGTCAGGCTGTTTATCTTTCTTTTTTTTTCTTTTTTTTTTTACGGGCTCGGGTCGGACTCGGGCTGATCATTCTGATGAGCTGTCGGACACGGGCCGGGCTAGGGCCTGAGCGTCTCGGGGCAGGGCCGGGCTAGGGCCTAGATTTGAGGCCCGTGCAGGGCTCTACGGCACGATGTCACATACATCAACAACATATGAATCAGCCTCTATGGAAGACACTGTACAAGGGCAAAGAACTTATATTGTTCTTCTATACTCTTTGACAGGGGGGAGGGGATCAGGCCGTGAGTGCAGAGACGGCTTTGCATGAGTGGTATTTACGACAGTAACGTTAAATACAAGTACTCCACAGCGACTGTTATTAAGAGATGGTAACCTGTGACGTTCTATTTATGCATTTCTATAAACACTATCAATTCCGTACTATCAATGGTACAAATAAGAGCTCTGTAAGTTTAGATTCATTATTATTGTAATATTATGTGCTTTGAGACATGAGGTAATTTAACGCCGTCTCTCATCTCGTGGCGCTTTGCAAACTCTGTTGTGTGCGTTCATGTGTTTTGATGGAGGCGTGGCTTTGGAGACGCTCTGAAGGGAGGGTGGGATCTCATGCTTTCAAAGCTAGCTAGCTATTGCTAGCCGGTCCGAAATTACCTACCCTACCTTTAAAGGCCCCCTTGAAATCAAAATTTAAGTTTTTTAGCTTTTAGTATGAATATGTTAGGCTTAAGATTATGAATAAGCTGGTGTGTTTCAAAACAGTGTCAAAATGTGCATTTAGGAGGTATATCCATTTAAAACTTAGAGTCTCTCAATTCCGCTAAAATGGATCACAGATTTTTATGACATCACCACGGACTTCAGCTTTACATCACATCTTCTGTCCAATCAAATGCTCTCTAGAATCTAAAGCGTCCCGCCTCTATGCTATAAATACCACCTGGCCAAAGCGACCGTTGACACGTCACAGAGCAATATGGGTTGGAGATATGAGTTTTTTCCGTTTTTTTATTCCGTTTTCCAACAGAAAGGGTTAGGGTTAGTTTATTTTTTTAATTTATTCACACCTCTACTATTGAATCCAATATATTATCAGCGCTCGGATTCGCTTCCATGGTGCTGTCAAGTACTACTCGCAGTCTGTGAGGTAAACTAAACACTATTGGCTATTTGAAAAGGGGGAGGAGCCAATCAATATGTCCCTCCTTAGCTTCCTGTTTCAGTGGAAATTATGTCAACGCATCATACAAAGTTGCGCGTTCCAAGGCACTTCAGTGGGCCTTTAAGGGTCTATTTCTACCAGATATGAAGGTGTCATGTCATGTAAGACTTTTTTCTTTTGATGAACATGATCGAATGCCATTGTGCTTATGAAATTTCATAACTTTTCACCAGGCCCAGAAAAAAAAGAAAAAGCAGACTTTTGCTACATTTTCTATACCAAGTTTGAGGAAAAAATCTACTGAATACATTATGTGAAAGTGCCAATGAATCGAAAGCTGTGGTAGATCTTTTTTTCCTTACTGTCAAGTGCCTAGGAAATAAGATATGTCATTTATTGATCCACATTGTCTCCAGCTAAAAGAAAATCCCAATCCATTATTCAAGATCCTATAATCGTCCTGGCCATAAACTGTTCTGCCTTTCGGCCTTCAGGAAAGTGATATCATGTCATCAAATCTAACTGAAGAACAACTTCTACCCGACTGCAGTTTGAATTCTCATTATAATGAGCAATTGGCAATTGGTATATACTATAGTTTAGTCAGTTTTCCACACTGGCAGTGTATGTCACCATACTCTACAACTGTTGGTAGCTCAAAGTACTATCAAATTAGCCAAAATACTTGATAAAAACTGAAATTTCTACTGAAATCTGTGGATCTTTCTGCATTCCAGATGGATCTGCTTTTTGCACTCAGTAATTTCAAAGTACCTTGATTCTTATTATTTTTATATTGCACACTTTAATATTTGTCATTTGCTTTGTGAGAATTAGACTGCACTACTGATCACACCATCTGAACCTTTTTTCTTGACCTGTTTACTACTGTTATTCATAATCCCTGCTGGCATCATATTGCCAAATATGCTTAAGCATGGCAAAAGCATTTGTTTATTTCTCTCTGAGCTGTGCCATCTGTTGCCTTTGCAGGACGACAGCATCTTAAAGGAATTTGATATCAGCGATCATGTGAAAGAGGGCTTTGAGAAAGCAGACCCGTCGCAGTTCGAGCTGCTCAAGGTGTTGGGTCAAGGCTCCTATGGAAAGGTGAGCTTTAAAAATGCTGCATCTGATTGATCCTCTGTGTGTTACTGTTATGCAGACTGCTACCGATAACTGAGATTATGTGTGCCATTTGTTTGGATGTAATTTTGTTAATGCAAGTGGTGTTTAGGTTTGGGGTAATGGATGTAAACCCCCTTTCTGTGTCCTTATACTGTAAACCCTTCAGTTGACCCGAGTGTATTTTGGGATGTGAAAAGGTTTAGAAAGAGAGGATCAGTTGTTGCAGGATTTACATTGCATAGTTTAAAATTATTATCTCGTGTCCCGAAACTGAAATTTCCTGCCTGTTCTAAAACCTAAGCTTCATGTAGGCAGCATTAAAAAGTCATCATAATGACACTCTCGATACAAAGGCCTTACAATAAGATTGGCCGCATAATCAGAGATACCTTTGGAGAAAATTTAAGTCAGTATTGCATGTATTTTTAAGCAGAAAAGGCAAAGGAGGTGGACAACATGAGAAATTATGATTATGAATATACTTATAATTCATACAATACTGAAAAGTATCAACAGAAAAAAAAATTACCCAATATTTATGCATTTTGCTTAGTAGAATACTGAATTGTTAGCTTAGCAATATGCTAATGCCAAATTCCATTGAAATCAATTGTGAGTTGAGTCTATTTGCTTCCTATCTAGAATGTTTCAAATTGATCACTCATGTTCCATTTTAATTAGGATGTTGCCTTAGCTTACTAGTTTTTGGATAAAAAAATTCATACAGTCAGTATTTATACTCCCATTTAATCCCAAACCTGTTTTTTTTTTCTTCTTCCATGAACACAAAATATGTCAAGCATGTTCAAAATTGGAAAAATGACACAACAAAGTATCATACGACACATTTTCTAACACTATGTCCTAACCAGACAAGACTTGACACCCCAAACGTGATAAAAGGTATCTTTTCTGATTTTGTTAATCATAGTTTTTGTCCTAACCACAGCCTTGATGGCGATATGCAACAAATCTGTTTTAGAAACGGTTTCTATTTCTGTGATGTTGCAGCTGGAAAATCAACGTACAAATTATGACATGATAATCTCAGGTACTGATTATGTGCTTTATTTAATGTTGGATGGGAGTTTGAATGTCATTTTGCGTGATCTTTATAGCCATACTGAAAGCGATAATTGATAATTCATCACATCAGAACAAAAAGGTTCAAACTGTGTGAACTCAATGTGAACAAACAATATATTTAATGACAAAGATTGTATCATTATGTTTTTTTTATAATAATTTGTATGAATTTGATTATGTATTTACCCATTTTGTTGAGAGCGCAGTGCTCTTGCAGAGAGACTTCACCCACACACTCTTCTGATTACCTGTGATTTTTGATTGATTTTCACGAGTTCACACTTACATAATCAGATAGAGTGAAGGTTATGCGTATTTTTCGTGCTGTATGATGGGAGGGCTCCGAAATCGGAATTTGGCCCGAACCCAGAGTACATAAAATACAAAAATAAAGTGCCGGTACTCCCCCTCCCCTCACAAATCTTTGTTTCACAAAGATAACAAAATTGTATGTTATGTTCAGATAACATAATATTTTGAGTTTCTGTTGAATAAACGGTTTGTATAAACTCAAATTTTTTGTTTAAATGAACTCCAAATTTTAAGGCAACCAGGTAAGCCTACTTTAATTTAAACCAACAAATTGAAGTTTACAGTGTGATTGTGTCTTTTATCATTTCTATGCATGTTGTTAATCTAATGCCACATACACATTAATACGTTTTGATTAAAAAAATTAAATATTAAAAATATTTTTCAAATGAAAAAAACAATTTCTAAATAGTCTCTATTCTGTTGCCGCTTGAGGAAACATGTGAGAAGTGCCGGTATCGTACACAAGAAAAATGAGGGTATGCTACAGCTTAAAATATAGAAGTGCCTGTACTGCGTACCAGTGCATACCGGCCCACTTCGAGCTCTGCCTTTGTGTGAAGAAGACTGTTAAAATTTAAATGCTGGCTACATACTGTAAGCAGAACAGAGCAGGAATATCCCCCCATCCCCCCCCCCCCCCCCCCCCCCCCCCACCACACACAAAAAAAATGTCTGTCAGTCTTCACACAAAGCTGTCACATGGCTGAAGACAACTTCAGATGTACTGTAATGTTAGATATTTTTATATTTCCCTCTTTTTGGATCTTCACAGCCCCTGGACACAGACTTAGATGTGAATATTGTGGGGTGTTGACCTTACTTTTCATTTACAGGTGTTCTTGGTGAGAAAAATCAAAGGTTCAGATACAGGACAACTCTATGCCATGAAGGTCTTAAAAAAGGCAACACTAAAAGGTAAAAGATACTTCAGCCCTTATATTATTATTATATGATTCCTACTCTATAATTTACATTTACATTTCTCGATCTCTCCCTGGTATGTGCTGATGTAAAACCTGCAGTTATTATTTCAGCTCAGCATGACATCTAACCTGTGAGTCATAGCTAAGCTGATAGGAGGCCTGAAGTGCTCTTTGGTTGATTTTTTAAAGGGTGTCTGAATCATCAGATTGTTTAACATGGGGAAAAGGTCCCACTCAGACAGCCAGGTGATTTTTCGGAATGACAGTTTTTCAGTATGGGTATACTTAAGATCCATAGCAGCTTCCCTGGAAGAAAAAATAAATACATTAATCTCAGAAATGAACTAAGCAGATAAACCTGAAATCTTAAGCAGCTAACTGACTTTCCTCATCATTTATTCATTTTTGTGATTCATCCCATTGTTTTTACACAACAAACACAAATTTAAGCAGTTATCGTAGTGATTCACAATGCTCAGTTTGGAGTGGTAATCTATTTCACAACCCACATAACTTATTCACTCAATGTAACCATGGTTACTTACTAAAGTCTTTGCTCTCAGCGGATGATGTTGTGAAAGTTCTTCATGTACTTGTGAATGAAAATAACAGTATTAGTGACTGTGGCACCTCACTGTCAGACCACAGCAATGCTGCAGCTGTTACATAAGACAAACCATTCAGAGTGAAGGATCCTGTGTGAATACAACATCCATCATGCTGCTTTTGTTTTGAGACTTGTCAAAGATTTGTAGTTAAGTCCTGCTGGCTTAAAGGTGAAGTATGTATTTTTAGATGTTAAAATGTGCTGAGACAACTACTATATGAGTATTTAATTCATGTAACTTCATTCATTCATCAGGGCTCTCAAGTGTCACGCATTGAGCGTGACAGTCACTCATTTCGGTCTTTTGTCACGCTCTCCCGCCACACATTGTATTTCTCACGCTGAAAAACTATTTGTAATATATTTAATATGCCGCAGCGCCCAAAACTCTGGCCGCGCTGCTCTCACTGTGGAACCGGCATGAATCAAGCGCGTTTCCTCTGGTGTTGTTCGTCGAGCTACACAATAGCCAATCAGAAAATAGCACTATTGTATCTGGGTAAGATTTAACGCAACAACCAATGACAAAAATGGCTGGGTGTCACTCTTACCTGTCTTCAAAACTTGAGAGCCCTGATTCATTGACTTTATGAAGCTAACAAAGCTGTTTGTTTGAGTGTCCAGCCTGACAAAGTGGCAATGGCTCAACAAATGGCAGTCTGGAGTCGAACTACATGTTTGGCACAACAATAACAGATGTGTTTGAAACCTGTCATTCATTTTGTAATTATGTTGCTTTGGTGATGCTAGTGGAACAAAAACTACACACTTCACTGTTCAGATTACTATATAACTAAAAATCTTTCTTACACTGCCAACCAAAGTCCCTTTTTAAGTCCCTTTTGAATTGTATCTGGCACAGAGCATTTACATTACATTTTCATTTAGCATTTAGCAGACGCTTTTATTCGACTTACAAATGAGGAGAACAATAGAAGCAATCAAATCAACAAAATGGCAACAATATGTAAGTGCTGTGACTAGTCCCAGTTAGTCTAGCACAGTACACGTAGGATTTTTTTTTAAAAATAGATAGAAATAGAAATATAATAGAATAGCTGCTTGGAACAGACCAGGTAAAGACCTGTGAAAGTGATTTTGTGCCTCTTTGGGATGGTATCAGAAGGCGCCATTCACTTGCAGAACGCAAGCTTCTGGAGGGCATATTGAATTAGTGAGTTTAGGTATAGGGCTGCAGAGCCAGTGGTTGTTCTGTAGGCGAACATCAGTGCCTTGAATTTGATGCGAGCGGCTATTGGGAACCAGTGTAAATTGATGAAGAGATGTGACATGCGTTCTCTTCGGCTTGTTAAAGACCACTCTGGCTGCTGCATTCTGGATCAGTTGCAGATGTTTAACAGTGGATGCTGGAAGGCCTGCTAAGGGAGCATTACAATAGTCCAGTCTGGATAGAACAAGAGCTTGGACAAGGAGTTGTGTAGCATGCACCGATAGGAAGGGTCTGATATTCCAAATGTTGTATTAGGCAAATCTGCAAGACTGGGCAGTTCTAGCAATGTTGTTTGTGAAGCTTCATGGAATGGGTTTCCATGGCCGAGCAGCTGCATGTAAGCCTCACATCACCAAGTACAATGCCAAGTGTCGGATGGAGTGGTGTAAAACATGGCGCCACTGAACTCTAGAGCAGTGGAAATGTGTTATGCACAGTAACGAATCACACTCGTCTGTTTGGCAGTCTGATGGGCGAGACTGGGTATGACCATTGCAAGAAAACCGTTACCTTCCCGACTGTATTGTGCCAACTGTAATGTTTGGTGAAGGAGGGATAATGGTAATGGGGCTGTTTTTCAGGGGTTGATCTAGGCCCCTTACTTCCAAATCTTAAAGCTGCAGTCCGGTGTTTTTCCTCTTTGTCGCCATCTCTGTTTGAAATCTGCAATTGCAGTCATTCGCGGAATTATCAACTTTACGTGAGTTGTACTTTAACACCCTCGACACGGCACAGTTGAACACAATGTTTGAGGAGACTGTGAGGCTGTCAGTCACCGCCGGTGTAGAGACTGGCATTCAGAATCACAGATTCTCCTTTTTGGAAGTATGACCAACATAAGAATTTTCACCGGAAAATGTCATCTGAACTAGTAAGAAACATCCACTTTTGTTCTGGTTCTGACATTGCAGTAAATCGCGCTGATTAAATCTAACAATCGCTTATAAGTTATCATATCACGCAAAACCGTGCAAATTATACTTTGTTCTCAAATTGTTAATGTTAACAACGTCAGCATTGCGTGACTACATGTAATGTCCTTCCGATATGTATCCTTGTTTTCGCATGGGTCCGGTTGCAGTCTCTTTTTTTCTGTAGCCACTCCGAGGTCCGAACGAAGTCTTTTGTATTTTACAGCGGGTGAATCTCTAGTTGTCACTGGTGATTGTCGTTTGAACCTTTCTGGATCCGCCATCAAATTGATAAGTTTAATTATATCAAGTGCTGTGAGAAAAGGCCATTAATCTCCACCTCCAACATCCTCACTCGCAATATAGCCTACTAGCCGAGACTCCTTCTTTATGTGTACAGATGTGACGTAATGACTCAATATAGCTTATACTAGCCGAGACTCCTTCTTTATGTGTACAGATGTGACGTAATGACGCAAAGACATGCTCGAATCTCCCGCGGACATCCACCAGTACCACTGGAATTAAAAACATTATTACAAGCTTACCGCTTTGAATCGAGCTAAGGCAAGCAGAGAGTTTTGAACACTGGCTGGTTATGTATTTTCTCAAATATGTATTTTGGAAATTTTTTAACCCCAAAAAAGCTACGGACTGCAGCTTTAATGCTTCAGCATACCAAGACATTTTGCACAATGCTATGCTTCCAACAGTTTGGGGAAGGTACTTTTCTATTCCAGCATTACTGTGCCCCAGTACACAAAGCAAGGTCCATAAAGACATGGTTGGATGAGTTTGGTATGGAAGAACTTGATAGTTGCAACAAGGAGACCAATCATTATTAATTTTAGTTTTTCCACTTTGACATATTCAAATTTAAAAGTTAATATCAAAATGTGATTATATTCCAGTTATTTATGGTCAAATAAACCTGTAAACCCAATTGCCAATACTTGGTTAAGCCTGATCTGGTTATGTCCTAAGTAAATTATATTCACAAGGGTCACGGCACAAAAACACTTTTTTTGAAAAGCAGATTCTTCAGATTCTTTTCATCCACTTTTAAAAAAGAAATATCAATAGGAATATAAATCAATATGTATTTGTAATGAATTTTGCGATTCATTGTGCACTTTTATGCTTTTGCCAAGGGAATGAATGAGAATTAATGAGTTGAAACATTCACGTCTTTTTGTCTCTATGTTTTATCTCTATATATTTTAAGTGCGGGACAGAGTGAGATCGAAAATGGAACGAGACATTCTCGCAGAAGTGAATCATCCCTTCATTGTCAAACTCCACTATGGTGAGTTGTTCTCTCAGGAGATTGTAAACACAAACATTAACATCAATTTCTGAACCACCAATGCTCTATTTCAATGACAAACAGAAAACAAAATTCCTCATTTTTTACTTTTGATAGGTGAAAAATACTGCTTAAATGTAACCTTTGTTGCTTTTCCCCCACAGCATTTCAGACAGAAGGAAAGTTGTACCTTATATTGGACTTTCTCAGAGGGGGAGATCTTTTCACACGCCTCTCCAAAGAGGTCAGTTTTTATAAAACGAAATAACAGGCAACAGGCATAAATGGTGTGCTTGTTTAGTTAGCTTGTTTCTAATAGGAATAATTAACTAAAAATGATGTTGTCCCAAACCCAAAATACTTTCTTTTCTCTGTGGAACAAACAAGGAGATGTTTTTTAGAATGTTCATGCTGCTCTTTTCCGTGCAAAAGAAAGTGAAGGGGGAAAACGCTGTCATTCTCCAAAACTAACAATGTTCTCATGTTCCTCTAAACCAAATGCAACATGCTAAGTTTGAATATGCGAAAATGCAAAGGAGATTTAAGAGCACACAAGTTGAATGGACTTCTTTTATGATCATTTTATTGTACTTTTTTGAGGATTGACAACATTCTCATTCACATTCTATGCAAAAGAACACCTAAAAGGAGAGATTCTTCTAAATTTCTCCTTTTATGTTCTATGAGAGTCATATGGGTTTTGGGCGACATGAAAGTGAGTAAATGAGAAAAACAGATATAATACCAATATAGTTGTGTCCACTCATTGTACACTTGTGGTCTTCAGCTGAGTTGCAATTGCTTTCTGATTGATCATTTAGTAATTGCAAGACATCGACCTGCAATAACAGAGGTACATCCAGACTGAATTGTAATGGAGACGTCATTTTGGTCCAAATGCCTTGGTAATTAAAGGCATGTCTGGCATCTATTCTCTGACGGATGGTGTAATTGGTCCCTCTTAACACTCACTGTACTGTAATTCTCCTTAATGGAGTGTTTGGTTTTCTTGATCACATCACTTTCTAATCTCACAGACTCAATAAAAGCTTCCCTCGAGGATCTGTTCCCTTCGTACATGGGGAGCAAATCTCATTATTGATCTATTGACTGCAACTTTTGCTGAAGCCTGTAGTTTCTGAATCACACATTACAGCATCAGAGGTGATCAGTGGAAAAACAGTGGATAATACACTACTGTCTATGTCTTGGCAAGGATTAAGGGGAAATAATGTGTTTTATATTGATTAGCAACACAGTTTGTGTCTGGCGGTTGTGTTGAGTTTGAAAAAAAAAAACCTGAAACCAACGTCATTCTTTATTGTTGCTACTACAGAATAAAGGCAGGTTCACACCAAAAACAATAGCTATAAAGATAACTATAGCGACAACTATATTAGCGTCAGCACTAATGCACGATAATGTTCTGTTTATTATAAGCATGCTGCAGTTTTGTCGTCTGCCGCTTTAAATGCTCGAGCTCTTTAAAGCAGGATGGATTCTGATTGGCTGTCTGTTTTTATAGTTCATCAGCTGGAAGAAAATCATTCTGAAAGTGATTCCAACAATATCATTTCTCTGTGTCGTTATCGTTACAGTTGTGGTTTGGACTCTGCTATTCTTATATATTTAAAGGTTCTCTAAGCGATCCTGGGTGACGTCACTTCTTGTAGACGTTCGAACTATTGTCAAACAAAATGGAGGCTAGCTAGACCCTCCCTCCTCCTCATCCGCACACTAACCCCCCAAACCCTTCTTGTTGGTCATTGGCTGGAACAGTTTGTTATGTTTCGTGGTGCGGGTAAGCCCAGTTTATTTTTGTTGCCGTTTGTGGAGCCTGGGGTGTCTGCAGAGACCGCGTTTTTTTACAGTGTGTTCAGGGGACAGGCAGCTAGCGGATAGTGAGGAGATGTTTGCTGTATGTGACAAAAAAAGTTTTGGCCTAAAAAACGCGTGACATCGCTTAGAGCACCTTTAAAATGATTTTTAGAACTATCTTTATCGTTATCTTTATAGTTATCGTTCTTGGTGTGAACAGGACTTATTGCTGTTATTATCAATACACTAAGCTCTTCTGGATCTTTCCTGTTATCCAGTACCTTTCCCTTGGCCTATGTGCTTGTTGTATTTGGAGTATTTATATTAAACAAATAAAAAATACATTTTACATAAATGTACGCCTATTTTGACATTATTTTGATATTGTGATAAAAGAAAAATAACTCATGTTTAAACATTTTTATCCGTGAACATTTTATAATAACTGCATGGTTATTAATCATTAGTTAAGCAATAATAAACAGTTAATTTATCCTTTATAAAGCATTAACATTAATAAGCAGTTTATAAATACAGCTATAAATGCTTTATTCTTGATTTATAAGCATATCTATAATGTGTTTAATAATGATCAGTCTATCATTTCTAAATGAAGTATTGCATTATTTGTTAGTGATTCATAAGATCACTTAGAAAGTGTAAGTAAATGATTAATCAACTATTTAAATGTACATTCATACATCTTGTTATTCAGACATATAGTAATAGTTACTTAGTGTGTTAATAAATGCTTTATTAACATGTATTTCTACTCTAATTCATGGTTAATTCAGGTAGTTATAAAGCATTTAGTAGTGGTCAGTTAACTATTTTTGTGAGCTCATCTAAAGTGAGGACTATTTATGCCTTGTAAAGCATTAACAAAGGAGATTTAAAGGCTCATTTATCTTCTAAACAGAAAATGGGAACAAACAACACGGTGATACAGAACATAGAAATATTTAAGATGTATGAATATACATTTAAATAGTGTATTAATAATTTACTTACACTTTCTAAGTGATCTTATGAACCACTGACAACTAAATAACTGGTTTGTAAATAATGCTATACTTCATTTAGAAATGATAAATTGAGCATTAATAAAGTATGAAAATACAATTAAACTCATTATAGATATGCTTATAAATCAAGATTAAAGCATGTATAGCTGTATTTATAAACTGCGTATTAATGTCTATTAATGCTTTATAAATGATTAATTACTAATGCAAAGCAAATGATTAATACTGTGCAGTTATTATAAAGTGTTACCATTAAAGGCAATATATTAAGACATAAGAATTACCTTTCTTAAGTTTCACACTTAACATTATAACAGCCTCTGAGTTCTCTAACCGATAAGTGAGAGGTTTGAATCTATAAAAAGTACACGCAGCAAACCACCAAGAATAACTTTGTTGCTGTGGTGATCGGAAGAGAGATGGCAAGGATTATTTAAAAACGTAAAATTGGGCTTTTAAGATGTGACATCATTTCTTGTTCCTATACTGATCTAGGCTATATACTGTTTTATCCACTTTATCTATGCCTGTGCTACAAACATGTACAGTATTTGAAGTTTCAAAGCACAGAAAGAAAGAAGGAATTATGTATTCGCATTATCTATGACAAGACTGCTGTCTTATTCTAAAAAGCTCTACAGATGCTTCACATTAAGTGCATTTGCTTTATCTTGATGTAGCTTTTATGGAAATCCGTAGTTGTTGACTCACTCATGCACCATTATTACTGTTGCTCATCTTTACAGTTTGAACAAACCCATAAGCCTAATAAGCATGGAGGATACATCAAACCATGCGACTTACTGAGGAGAGATATGCTACTTCATTTACTAAGCAATCAGATTTGGGATTTTTGACTGGTGGATGATAAGAATATCATAGAGACTGGGCACTTTTGATTTCATTAGGCAGCAACCCCGTCAATTCTATAGAAACCACTCAGGGTGGAGTAGTACATAACAGAAAATATGATGCATATTTTAAAAATACGTCACATTAAACATTAAGGTCTATCGAATTTGTCTTCAAGTAACTTAAGTTAAACATTGGCTAACAAATTGTTTTAGTGAATTCGTTTTATCTTAAAGGCACACTATGTAAGATTTTTGGATCAAAATATCCAAAAACCACTAGAACAGTGTTATATATTTTGTTGATTTGTGTACTTACGTTATCCAAAATGTTTCTGATAATGTTTAAATCCAGAGAAATAAGCAGTTTTAACCAGGTCACTGTGTCAGTGTGTCGCCTATGAAATTATGGAAACACCAAAGACGCTTTAATATATTATGTGTTTTATTAGACAGGTGAGCAACTGTTTGAATATATTCGTCGACAGAAATCTAATCATTGTTATACAGCTCAACACAGTTAGTCTTTTTGTTTAAATCTCGTTTTCTTGATTTACTGCGAATACCATATTTACCATGCCTAATATCGATCTAGCTCACTGCAGTGTGCAACAAGTGTCTCATATAGTAGCCTTATGTAGTAGCATTATAACAACTTTCAACACACTCAAATGTATCTAAAATGATAATATTAAATCTAGGGATGTACGATATTGGATTTTGGCCGATATTCGATATGCCGATATTTTCAAACTAAATTTGCCCGATGCCGATACCGATATATTTGTATTTTTTTTAAGTGCAAAAAAAGCTTATTACAGCTTCTATTAAAGTTCTCAGTCAAGAGCAGTGAGTGATTTCCTCTTTGGGTTTTGTTGTTTTATTAACATTAAAGGGATAGTTCTCCCAAAAATTTTAATTGTCATCATTTACTCTCTCAGGTTGTTTTAAACCCAAATAAATTTCTTTCTTGTGTTGAAAATAAAAGTTATTTGGAAGAATGTGGCTAACCAAACAGTTGCTGTACTCCAGTGACTTCCATAGTATATTTAAGCACAAGAAAGAAATTAATACAGGTTTGGAACAACATTAGAGTGAGTAAATAATGACAGAATTTTTATTTCTGGGTGCAGTATCTCTTTAAGGACAAGCGGCAGCATATTATTACTGTCTCTTTAAGAGCTGCACGCGACGCGTCTAATATACACACAAGCAGATTTTCTCTGTTTGCTTTCACTTTAGACATAACCAACTTTGTTTATGTAAACCTTGTGTGTATTTGACAGTATTAGCGCAATAAGACTCGAAAGGCGCTGTGACAGGCTTTTAGTTCCTGTGAGCGTCGGGTGTACGCGCTCAGAAAAGCGCATGTTAGAACAGCGCATCAGCACGTGAATGACATGTTTAACTAGCAAGACTTTGACGAACATGCAAATAATGAACTTTTGTGAATTGCAGTGTCCCGTGAGTGTAACTCTACCTCTGCGTTTACATGTGATGTGAATGTACGTCGCGTTGTACAGTATGTTGAGATGAAGGCGCCAGAATTG